ATAAAGAGTAAGATAGTGCCCTTTCGTTAAATCAATGTATCACCACACAAGCTTATTAGGCATATTTTGGCAAGCCGTACTATGCGAAAGATAAATATTAAATATTAAAAGTATACATACTCGAAGGAGGATATTCTTAAAGACTGAATTTGAATATAATATTTTTCAATTAAAATAATTGTATTATTATACTGTTCATTTAATAAATACATTATATAAAACGCATTGAGTTAAATCGTAAGTTCAATTATTTTATAAATTATTCTCTACGGAATAGTAACCGATTGATAATCGTAAATAATAATAAATAATAAATCAATGATATAATGATAATGTTATATGGCATTTTAGAAAATTGTTTATGAAAATTTACTCCTAAGATTTATTTCAAACGAGCAAACTTTTCTATTTTCTTCTTCAACATTATTTTACATAATCCCATTTATCATTTCAATATTATTTTAGTTCAAATAACTAAAAGCTGCTTGAAAAAAATTCAAATTTATCACATCTTAAAGAGGTGAATAATTATAAATTTTTGAATTTATAAAATTTACAAAGACTCGTATTCCTATAAGCATTTGCATTTACGAAATAATAATCGATAATAATCGAATTATATAGATATTATAGAAAATAAGGTACTTGTAGAATGAATATGTATCGTTTGAAACGGTAAGATTAATTTCTTTTATTAAATAGATAGTTTGTTTGTTTTTTTTTTTTTTTTTTTTTTTTTTCCCCCCCCCCATCTAATTAAGTATTATAATTATGATTATTATAATACAATATATGATTAACAATTGAATGATTAATTTTTTTCAGATTTATTCTTATAACAATGTGTGTTTGTAAATTGAAAATATTTATATTAGATAAAGAGTAGAGTATAAATTTTGAATGAAAAGTACGCTTTCATGTTCACCTATTTATTTATTTATATCACTTTGTGTTAAAAATACTGCGAAGAATTTAAAAGTCATACCTATTAGTAATTTCATCAATTTCCACATTCAATAATAATGTACTTACATTATTTTTGATAAAATTCTTCTTGCAATCTTCAATATATATTAATATTTTTTAAACGATACTTACATTTAATCTATTGTAATTCATTCAAAAATATAATTAATGATTGGTGTAATATGTTTTTGTAACGTTATTAAGAATTAATATTGTCATCTATTACGAGGAGAAATTTGAAAAAATCTCTATAAACTCTGTGTGGAATAAAAAAATATTAAATTTTATCTCTTGGAATTTTTTTTATTTCACGCGATGATGAATGATGAATGAATATTTTCAAAATGATAGAGAGTAAAATTTGAAATTAAAAAAAATTTGAAATTAAATTCTTACACGTCCATTGATATTATTAGAAGAATATTTCGTCAATTATCGTAATAATTTAATTCGTATAAATAAACAAAATGGAAATATTAGGTAAACGTTTTTACATAATGTTCATGCTCTCGTTCGTTAATTCAATTAATTTATCAAATTTATCACTTATTTTATTCTGCTTCTCGTAAAAAAAAAAAAGAAAAGAAAAGAAAACAAGAACAAAATTCTTAAATATTCACATCGTTGTCAGATTATTGTTGTCAATTTTATTTTCTCTATCAATCTATAACTGATATAGTAACATTAATTTTCATTGTCTTTTATATTATCCGGACGAATGAAATTTCTTATGAATTGTCATTAAGAATCGGATTTATAAAAATGAATTTGGGTAAATTGTGTATAATGTGAAGGTTCTCAGTAAGCAGTAGAACTGTTTGGTTTCAATAACAAAGTCAGCAGCAGCTTGTCCAAATGAAAAGAAAAAAAAAAAAAATTAAAATTAAAAAAATGAAAAAAAAACAACAAAAGAAATGAGAACTGGAAAAAAAAAGCAAATAAATAATTGAATTTAATAAGCTATTATTTTCGTATACATCAAGTATAGGAATGGAATGAAAGATTATTATAAAAATACATCGCGCGTCGCACTAATGTAGCATTCTATATTAAAGTGTGCGATTATATATTATGAAATGGGACGACGATGGGCGCGACAGTTAATATGAAAGTTCATAGTATTATTTTGCGAAATGCCTGATCCCATGAGCAATCGCTCGTGCCCGCGGTGAAAACCATTCGCAACACTATCAGTTGATGTACACGGAAATAGCGCCTAAAAATAGCACTTTCTCGTTTTTAAGTTCGCGAAAGCATGATATTATTTATAAAGCTTTCGCGAGGGACGGGACGCGACGTTGCAATTAGGACGACATATGCTTTTGAATGGGACATTGGAAGGGAAAGGCTCCGGTGTTGATCTGGAGTTTGGCAGGTGACGGCAGGTGATCCCCGAACGACTCGCTCGGGCAAACGCAACCGAGGGTGCTGCCTATATCGTCGTCTGCTTGAACGGGATTTGGATTCCGATGAGAAGCGGATCGCGGCTGCGCCCCCATGCGCGACAAGGCGATTCTAACGAAATCGCGAGCAAGAGAAACACGCGCCAAGGCTGCGCGGGGGTGGTCGTGGTAGTGGTGGCGGTGGTGGCTGTGGTGGCGGTGGTGGCTGTGGTGGCGGTGGTGGCGGTGGTGGCGGTGGTAACGGCGG